AGGAAGAGAAGGTGGAGGGAGAGACGGAGGAGAAGGAGGAAGAACAAGAGGAGGAGGGGGAAGAAGAGAAGGAAGAGGAGGGAGAAGGAGGAAGAGGAAGAGGAAAAGGAAGAAAATCAAGAAGAAGAGCAAGAGGGGGAGAATGAGGAAGAAGACGAGGAGGGGGAGGAGGAGGAGGAGGAGGAGGAGGAGTGATCAATCGATCTGGAGGGCACAAAAGGGCGCACAGACGGGCAACCGAAATCGGTCAGGAGGAGCTGCAGGCTTTGACTACGATTTCCCTAAACCGGCCGTCATCGGCCATCCCCGCCAGACGGTCAGAGCCCATTTCGCTCGACAGACGCTCGTGGCGAGACAGTGAAAATTCCGTATGCTGGTGCCGACTGGCTAGCATCCACACGAGTCCAAAATCTCGAACAAGTGAAAGGACATTTCCGGGGGGCGGGCGGCCACCAGGGTCTGTTAGGCCGGCGCACACAATTCGGACCACTGTCAGTGAACCTCTGTTCTAGCATGAAAAATTCACAAAAACTCCAATACGCAGACTAATGGTGCGATTTCAGGGTTGTCTCGAGAAAAAAGAATACGGACCAACAATGACTGTTTGTCTGCAGCACTCTGAACGTGCAGAGCCTCACTTAGGAAGTCTGCTATACTTTTGTTTGATGGTATTTTTTGTTGCGAAGAAGATGAAGACGCGATCACTAGGGCAACACCCGTGTTTGTCTGAGCTTCCGGCTTCGTACAAGAAGCCATTTTCAGAGACAATGAGATTTCAGCGAAAATTGACGTGTTTAATATTCCATCTACGAGAAAAAAATGGGGTAGCGGGTAACAGTCGTGATATACTTTGTCCACGCCCCCATTCCCTATTTTGTTATGGTAGATGGAATACTAAACACGTCAATTTTCACTGAAATCTCATTATCTCTGAAAATGGCCTCTTGTACGAAGCGGAAAGTTCAGACCAATACAAGTGCTGGCTCAGTGATCTCGCCTTCATCTTCTTTGCAACGAGAGCTTGAGGCTGGCATATTCACTTCCATTTTTTGTATTTAAGAATTATTTGTGGGCGCCCTTCCGTCGTCCAGTTTTCTATGATGGATTTGCGGAGCACACATTTTCAAGATCCAGGGCAAAACACTTTTTACAAAAAACCTAAACAAGGTAAAAACTATCAAAATGCTGTGTTGGTGGTGGTGGTAAGGCGATGTTTAGACCTTCTTGTCTGCGTCAAAAAGCAGCAGCGAATCGGTACAGCACCTTTTTTGATACAATACGGTAAGACACAAGAATAGAAATCCTCCAGCCCCCCCCTTTCCCCAGGAATACAGACGAGATTGCACTTACCTCCAGGAAAGGCACCCATTTCCACGTCCTAATTTGAAGCCTTACGCTAACCCTAGTCTCGCAGAAAATTGGCCCAAGGTTGCCTGTAGTGTGGAGATGGAACGATGGGGATGGGGCGTTTCTATTGCCGTGTGTTGCTTCATCTGATAGGCGATTGAGGCGAGGAGGGCATTAGAAAATATAACTAGCTGACTTTTATGGTAACTTCGGTCTTCACAATGCACCCGCAGCCCACGGGGAGTTCTCGAGATACATGTGCGTGCTGTGATCGACTCGCATCTTCTTTTTTCATTTTTTAAAGTAAGCGTGGATTTAACGTAATGAGCTTTGTATGAATACTGCTCAGCCGTGGAGAACACGGACAAATCTCCATGGAAGTGGGGCGCGCGTGATGAGAGAAAGCGAGTGTCTCCGCTAGGCTAATGAGCCGTCGTTTCGACCGAGACGGATTGCGAGGCCGAGGCCGAACTTGGCAGTCGATGGGCGAATAATGACCTGTAACGGAATCAGTTGGTTCAAGGTGGTGGGGATTTCATGCATGTTTGAACAGCTGTCTGGGCCTGCGAAAGAGGAGACTATGATGTTTTAGGTGAGAACACTGACGATCTACAGGAAATGTGTCATGACACCATGGCCTTCCAGGATCACATGGGTCTGATAAATGCATACGCAGACGAGACAAGAAACCAAATCCAGCTGGCCCAAAAGCTTGGTGAACTCTTCCATACGTGAAGAATGTATCGGAAGCAGTCAGCCACCTGCCCACCTCACTTGGAGTTGAAGTTGTGCACAGGCCAGAAGCAATCATCAGGCGCCGGGTAATGATACTGAATGACCCACTGCCATGGCAGGAAACGCCTGCAGTCGTTTACCGGATCCGATGCAGTTGTAGACGAAGCAACTACGTCGGAAAAACCGGGAGATTACTCCGGACGCGAAAGGCTGAGCACACAGCAGCGATGAGGAAGAAAGACGCTAACTCCTAGGTTGCAGCTTACTCGACGGGAACCGGCCATATTTTCAAGTTTAACGAGGCCAAAATCCTTGCAAGCGATGACAGTCGCATGAGCCGCGAGCTGCTCGGGTCATGTTTCGCAGGCCCACAGTCAATTAAAAAGCGAAACGATTTGCCGTTCCCATAATGCATACTGATCCATCGTCTG